CCTGAAAGAAAGGCTAGCTTGATGAGACTATCAGGAAGCAAGTTCACAAGGTCTCCAGTGTTTCACATTAGAGTTCAATGGTGAAGGTAATGCAGTTGACCAAGCATCCAAGTCTGGCAGTGGTCCTGTAAGTGCAAGATAGTTATCACTATCTTTTTCTTCCATTCTCTTCCAAGTTAGCTGCAATTAGTAAATAAGCCCAAAAATTAGTCTTTTGGATTAAAATGTTTTGCATTGGTGGTATATTCAAATAGAAAAAGAAAAAGAAACCTGCATTGATGCGTGAGTCATGTTGCAAAGCCATGAACAGGGTATAGATATAAGGATATTTGAAGTGTTAAAAAATGATATGTATACGTTGTAGACATAACCATAAATTATATGTATAGCTATGTACATCAGACATGCATACATACATATACACGTAATATGTGTGTGATATATTAGGATAAGACGTGATACAGCCTCAAGATTCACAACCAAATATTATACAAACCCTATCCCCATTCATATAGATCATGAAAAGTAAATTCCATCCAATTCAATCCAATTGCCTGTTCTAATAAAATAAATAAAAACAATTTCATTGCCTTCAAGCTAGTTCTAGGCCGATTGGCAATGGCAGACACATATCTACCAAATATTTCGCATATAATGGTGCATTTTTTGGTGTCTTACACCTATGTGTATATGGATGGTACATAAACTAATCTTAGCTGCAAGAACTTGTGAAATCTTCATCGGTCTGATTTGGACAAATTTTAAAAAGATTACTAGAATGTGACACTTTCTATAAATTAATAAACCATAATGTCATATTTTATAGTGTCGGTTATAAGAACATCACCAGTTTTTGTTTTGGCTGGACAAATGGTTAGGCTCATTTACTCTGTCTTCTTTATTTCCATCCTTATTTGCTATAACTTTGTATCCTTTTGCTGCTATTAATAGCATGTTAAAAAAAGAGGATAATATGTGGAGATGGAACATTCAGTTTAAGAAAGAAGTAGTTGGGGTTCTGGTTCCCCAATACTGTTCTATGATGAGATTAATAAATTTCATTTGTTTAGAGCAAAGGGAGGATACAAGGAAATGGCTTTGGGAAACAAAAGGGAATTTCACAGTGAGGTCTTTCTATCAAGTTTTAATTGATGGGGGTGTAAGATATGATTGTGCAAATTTATGGCAGCTTCCTATCCCTTTAAAAGTGAAAGTTCTAGTTTGGTTGGCACTTAGACAAAGCTTAAATACAAAGGATGTGCTGGAAAAGAAAGGAGTCCTCTTGGATAAAACTTGCTGTTTATGTTCTAAATTGGAGGAGAATCATACACATCTTTTCATCAAATGTGAGTTTGTTTACTCAATATGGAGATCGATTCAATTCAAACTGGAGACTGAGAATACTTTTAGTTTAGACTCTTTGAAAGATATTTGGCTTAATTGGAAGACTGGAGATATTGCGAATAGTAACCTGAAAAGGGATGTGATCATCTGTTCTTTGGTCTGGTGCATTTGGCAAGAACGTAACGATAGAATTTTTTTAGATAAAAAGAAGAAGTCCCTTGAGCTCTTGAACAAAATTATGACCTTCGCAACTTTTTGGCTAGGTGCTGAAAGAGTCTCTGCTCGAGCTGCTAGACTGAAGGAGAGGCGGAAAAAGAGGAATGCTGTTAACCTCCAAGCTGCTGGAGTGGCCAGAAATGAAGATAGAAATGTGGAGAGTTTGGTGATTCAGCTAGAGTGATGAGATACAAAAGGTGCAGTTGTGATGTTTTTTTGTTTTCTAAAACTAAAATCTCAGTTACATTGTGAACTGCTCTTCTTTTGGTCTTTTGTTAGATCTTTTTTGATCTTCCCTCTTTTGAGTATGTACAGAGGGGTGATGTTTTTCTTCTTTGTATGTAGTTGCTGATATGGACTGTAATACTCACTCTTGGTTGGGGGTGAGTATTTTATGTAACAACCATTTTTGTTAATTTAGCTGGCTGGATTACCTTTGTGGTAATCCATCCTTTTTCTCAAAAAAAAAAAGAACATCACCAGTTTATAATGGGATGGCATGCATTAATTTCTCTTTCTAGCTCCTAGGATGTTGAGTTATGTAACTCCAGAATTAGCTAATTGTGCCAGCTTCTTCTTTCATCCGCTTGAGACCCTATATGATGTATAAGAAGTTTGGGAGGTTGCTTCTTGGTCAGAAGAGATCTATGGATTGACCAATTGCTACATATCTCTATAAACATTGCAAGTCGTTATCTATAATCACACGAAATTGAAAAGGAAATGTGTACTTTATTCTTGAATTTTAAGATATTGAAAACAGAAATTCAGAACAAACACAAAATTATCTTTAACTTAATATTTGATTCAGGTTTCTATATAAATTTAATGTTAGATAATCTATAGCTACATGAAATCTCAAGAAGCACAAGCATGTTAGTTTACAATCAATGTTGATTACAGTGCAAAAAAATAACAATCTTGGAAGTCATCGTGATATAGAAATAATAGCAATGCCTGCGACAAAATCTTCATCCCAAATCTTTGGAGTACGCAATTTTCTAATGCAATTTTGTAAGAACTTACTTTATATTGAGTGTAGGCGTCAAAAAATGCTTACAGACATCCAAATATCACTCAAGACAAAGAGAAGGTGATAAACATCAGTATCTAAGTCATGGGAGATCATACAAGCCCAAAGGAAGCAAAAGGATCTTTGAATCAACACAAAACAATGTGAATTCACAGAACAACGCAAACTACAGCGTGTGGGCGCGGCAGCTCATGGTGCCGTGGCTACAGCGCGGCAGCTCATAGTGCCGCGGCTAAGACGCGGCAGTTCATAGTGCCGCGGCTTGGGCGCGGCAATCCATGGTGCCGCGGCTACTATAGGGGATGCTACAGCGGTTACGAGGTAGTTATGTGATGATTATGTGAAGTCTACGTGGCGGAGTATCAGAAATAGAACGTGTGCTGACGTGGACAAGCAGTTAAACCACGAAAAAAGGTGGTTAAAAGTCGTGGGAGGACAGTTTCAAGCACGATGGAACGTGCTAGTAACTGCCCCTGTGGCCGCTGCAGTTCATGCTGCCGCGCCAATAGCCGCTGCAGTCCGGGATGTCGCGGTCAAAGGGATAGTCGTTGATCGGCTATTTCTTCAGTTATTGTCCAAGGAGGCTATAAATACCCCCCTATGGACATCATTGACGGGGGGCTGAGCATTTTCCAGAGAGATTAGAGCAGAGAGCCTTGAGTTTTGGTGAATTAGAGCAAGAGAGCATTTTCCAGGGAGATTAGAGCAGAGAGCCTTGAGTTTTGGTGAATTAGAGCAAGAGAGAGAGTCTTCCTTCTTCACAAACATCCTCAAGAAGCTTCTAGCGAGTCCTAGAGATCTAAGCTCAGACTTGATCTTTGGAAGAGTGAACATCTTACATCGATAAGATATTCGCTTCAAATTCTTACTTCGATAAACGAAGGAAGAATCATTAAACCCCTCACGGTTCAATCAGAATCTGTGATTTGGTGGTCCACGAGTCAAAGCGCTCCCGGCACAGGCAAAGATCCCACGCAAGCAGCGATCCAAACAACGATCCTGCGTTTGTTTCTAAAAAGTTGTAATTTTCCTTTTGTTGTGTAAAAGAAGTCTTATAAAAAGACTATTTCTTTTGAATTTATTGTAATCGACCGAAGATATAATGAATTCCACAACGAAACCAACTTTTGACGCAAACAAGCTGGCGACCACAGTGGGAGCCAACGGTCTCGCTGCCGAGACCGTCGTGTCGCAGCCGATCAAGATTCCAGTTGAATCCATGGTCGAATACGAATTCGACCAGACCAAGTTTGAGGAATATCTCTCATCATCCTCTTCAAGATCTTCATTATCTCGCAAGTACAAGAGGATCTCACAATTGAGGAAGAGTTGCATGCCAAAGAAGGCACAAAATGAAGACTCTCGCTTGATTGTTGCTGAGAATTTCACTCGCAACACCTCTGCTCAAAATGGCTCTTATCTAATTGAAGAGTCATCGAATCAAAGCCCGACGACATTGACGAAAAGAGCTCGTCAGAGACAGCGTCAGCGTCTTGCTCGTCAAATAGCTAAGGCATTTGAACAAACCGACGGAGTTCGTTATTATGCGGACTTAGAGTCGAGGAAACAACAAGTGGTTCGTTCAACGCAACGACGAACTACTCACGTTTCTGCACAATTCACAACGGAGGAATGGACACTCATCAAAAGGGCTCGTTCGACCCTCCAAGAACGTATACAAAAACGTCGTGCAAACGTTGTTCATGCCCGTGCTCTCTTACAACAAAGACGAGAAAGGAGGAAGGAAACGGTGACCAAAGAATCACCAAAACTCCGCCAAGTTTGGATTCTGAAGTCTGGACTTATGCAAAATCAGCATTCGGAGCCCGTTAAGACTCCATACCCACAAGGGGGTGGTTCTAAACGTGCGACTCCCGACATAACCTTGGATCGCTTAAAGACAAAAATAAATTGTCCTGAGAATGCCAACAAGGTTTTACACCCCCAGAAGAAGACGCATTCACCAAATGATATCGTCATACCTGGGAGATCATACCAACAGACGATACGATTTTTTGGCAATCATACCGATGAATCGTATTATCAAGTTGAGGTTGTGAATAATTTTCGAAAGAGAGTTATTCGAGAGATAAACTCTCGTTGTTCCTGTGCACGACTCGTCAAAACAGCATTATCAGAATGTGACTGTTTCAAACGAGAAATCATCCCACGAAAAGTCTCTGCATTATCAAAGCCTAAGCTGAGACATTTCCGCAAAAGAAAATCAGCTGCCCAAAATGATGAATTCCCTGAAGTCACCATCAACGTAGCTGATAGAAGAAAGTCTAAACAGCATTCAAGTGACTCAAATCCCGACTTTTCCCCGAAAGGAAAAGTCAATCCAAGAATTGCTCAAAGGATGTCTCGACTCCAATTAGGAGCTATCAGACGCAGAGACTACAAGAGAATGCAAGAAGGAATGTCCTCGGAGGATGAATTCTCGGACACTTATTCTGCAATCGCTTCTGATGATACAATGTCTAGCACAGGACAAATCAGAGAAGTATTCACAATCACTGCTGATCAGTTCACTCAAATACTTCAGGAAGCTCTAGCCAAACAACGTGAAGAAATTAGAGCTGAAGTGAAGACAGAAATGAAGTTGGCTATCCAACAAATGAGAGAACTGTTAACTCAACAGCCTCAACCTCCTGAGTCCAATCAGCGACTTGAATCCAGCCACCACACTCGGAATGTTGTAGAGGACAGTGATCCAGAGGTGGATGAAGTCATTATGGCTGATACACCTCCCAATGACAATAACGCTGGGGGTGGTTTAACGGATCCTCCTATATATATATATATATATAGAAAAATGGGTATGCTTGGTGCCAAGCACAAATTGTCTAGACTTTATTATAAAAGATGCATACATACTAGATAACAAGACATAATATCCCAGATCTAGAAGTTTAAGTCCCAAAATATCAGCAAAAAGACAGTCAAACAGGAATAGTCTAGACTCTATTATAATAAATTAACAACATGCATCTAATCTAATCTCATCATCATCATGACGTTCCTCCTATGCTCCATCATCGCTATCCTCCCTGGAATCCATCTCCATACAATCCCTCGTCTGAAACATCATCATCAAAGACAAGTGGCTCTTCTTCATTTGTTTGTGGATTTTCATTTGTTTATATACCCAATAGCAACAAATTCATGGCTATGAACCATGAATTTTGTTTTCTTTTTTTCATTTTGACACAATAACAAATAAGCAAGCTTACTTAAGACATCACAATTTTCAAATGTTATAGCCCACGATTTATGTATATTTTGTTGCTTTTGACCCTAATTGAACATATTTCTTATTCGAAATTTCATGTGCATAAAATCCACGATATTTGCTCTTTACATCTATTTCGACCCATTGGCAACGAAACATACATACCTAAAAATTTCGGGACTTGCATGGATTATAACCCACAATTTCAGCCTATATTTGTTAGTTTCAACCCAATGGAAATTAAATTTTTCTTTCATAAAAAATTGTGATTTTTACGAGCTATAACCTACATTTTTCGTCCTACGAGTCAATGGCAAAAAAGTACATGTATTTAAAATTCTTGAATTTCATGCGCTAAAGCCCATGGTTGGTTTCCGTTATTCTATGTTTTGACCCAATAGCAAATGTTTGGCCGTTACCGATCGATCAATCTAATTCATATATTATAACTAACGATTTTGACAGATTATAGCTAACGATTTTGACAATTTTTTATCATCTCATCTCAATGACAAGTAATCGTACACAATACAAAATTCACAACTTTCATGGGATCATCCATAATTTTTGTCAATTTTTATTCGTTTCGACCCAATGGTGATTAAGTTTATTGTAACCCAATGGTGATTCGTTTCAACCCATTACTTTTGTCCAATTACAGTCGTTCAACCAATGACAACCTCTGGTTACAACCCAGGATTTTAGCAATTTTTGTTCATTTCATCCCAATGACAAATTACTATACGTACTTCAAATCAAAATTATTGATTTTGATGGGTTACAATACATGATTTTTATCAAGTTTCGTTCTTTGAAAAAATCACAAATAAGTATGTGTACCTTAAAATTCACGATTTTCGTTAGCTACCCAAGATTTTTTCCATTTTTGTCTGTTTTGAAAAATGTAATTAATTGGGAGTACAATTCAAAATTTGTAATTTACATGGATTATGACCCACGATTTTCTAGAATTATCATTTGTTCCCCCAATGGCAACTAATTACACGAACTTCAAAATTCGCAATTTGCATGGGCTAATAATCCATGATTTTTGTTACTTTCATTATTTTTATCCATGAAAAATAGATATATATATACTTCGAAATTCACGATTTTCATTAAATTCGTCCATTATGAACACGACTTTGTTCATTTCAACCCAATGGCAATAAACAAAGTATATTTCAGAATTTGTGATTTTATGGGCTACAAACCACAATACTTGCTCATTTTCTTTGTTTCGATCTATCGTCAATCAATCATGCATACCATACCAAAAACTCGCGATTTTTATAGGTATAATCCACAATTATTTTTCAATTTTAGAAAATTTCTTTCTTTTATAAAAAAAAGTGGCTTACATAAGTTATATTATCCACGATTTTTATCAATTTTCGTTCTTACTCTCAGTGAAAAATAAGTATGTGTAATTCAAAATTCATGATTTTCATGGCCTAAAGTACATGTTTTAGCCAATTTTTTTCCATTTCAGCACAATAGCCATGAATTATGCAAACTTCAATAATCACAATTTTCAATGGTTATAACCCACAATTTTTGCCCATAATCAGTCGTTTGACCAAATGACAATTAATTGTGTCTACTTCAAATTTCAAGAATGTCATGGGCTAAAGCCCACATTTTTTCACAATTTCATTCTTTTCGACCTAATGGAAATTAAGTAATTGTTTCTTCAAAAGTTGCATTTTCATCAGCTATAAAGCGATTTTTGTTAGTTTTCGTTCTTTGACCCAATGACAAATAAGTATATTAATGATTTTCAAATTTCATAGGTTTTAACCCATGAATTTTGTCCATTTTTATTAGTTTCGACTTAGTGGTAATTAATTTGGCATACGCTTAAAATTTTGCAATTTTCATAGGTTACAACCCACAATTTTTGTGTAGTTTAATTTATTACGACCCAACGGCAACAAATTATGTATCCTTCAAAATTCGTGATTTTTATGAATTATAAGCCAGGAGTTTTGTTAATTTTTGTCCGTTTTGACCCAAATAATAAAATTATTTGTACTTAAAATTTCACAGTTTCCATAGGCATTAGCTCACGATTTACATCAACTCAAAGACAATTAACTAAACATATCTCATATTCGAAGTTTCATGTGCTATAATCCACAACATTTGCTCATGACATCCGATTTGACCCATTGGTAACTAAACACGTGTACAAAAGAATTTGCGATTTTCATGAGTTATAACCCACGATTTTAGTCCATTTTCGCTAATTTCTACCTAGTAGCAATTAAAATTTTCTTTCATTAAAAATTACGATTCTCATGGGCTATAATCCAGGATTTTTGTTCTTCAACCCAATCGCAAAAAAGTATGCATACTTTAAAATTCGTGATTTTTATGTGCTACAATCAATAGTTGTTTTTCTTTTTCGCACTTTTCGAGCTAATAGCAAAATTTGTCCATCATCAATTGTTCAAACCAATAGCAATTAATTATGATTATTCAATTTCACGATTTTAATGGATTATAACTCACAATTTTGACAATTTTCGTTCATTTCATCCTAGTGACAAGTTATTATACATGCTTCCAAATTCCCAACTTTAATATGGTATAAATCATTACTTTTGTCAATTTCAATTCGCTTTGTCCAAAAGACAATTAAGTTCGGGTACTTCAATATTCGCAATTATAATGCATTATAATCCTTGTCCAATATTGATCACTCGACTAAATGGAAATTAATTATCACTTGAACTTCACGATCTTTGATGTGTTATATAACCCATAATTTTGGTAATTTTTGTTAGTTTTGTCCAAATGATACGTAATAATACGTACTTCAAAAGCAACGATTTTTATCTATTTCCGTTCATTTCAACCCAATGGCAATTAACAAAGCATATTTTAAAATTCGCATTTTGTAAGAACTTACTTTATATTGAGTGTAGGCGTCAAAAAATGCTTACAGACATCCAAATATCACTCAAGACAAAGAGAAGGTGATAAACATCAGTATCTAAGTCATGGGAGATCATACAAGCCCAAAGGAAGCAAAAGGATCTGTGAATCAACATAAAACAATGTGAATTCACAGAACAATGCAAACTACAGCGTGTGGGCGCGGCAGCTCATGGTGCCGCGGCTACAGCGCGGCAGCTCATAGTGCCGCGGCTAAGACGCGGCAGTTCATAGTGCCGCGGCTTGGGCGCGGCAATCCATGGTGCCGCGGCTACTATAGGGGATGCTACAGCGGTTACGAGGTAGTTATGTGATGATTATGTGAAGTCTACGTGGCGGAGTATCAGAAATAGAACGTGTGCTGACGTGGACAAGCAGTTAAACCACGAAAAAAGGTGGTTAAAAGTCGGCCAATAGCCGCTGCAGTCCGGGGTGTCGCGGTCAAAGGGATAGTCGTTGATCGGCTATTTCTTCAGTTATTGTCCAAGGAGGCTATAAATACCCCCCTATGGCCATCATTTAGAAAGAGGCTGAGCATTTTCCAGAGAGATTAGAGCAGAGAGCTGCCGCGCCAATAGCCGCTGCAGTCCGGGGTGTCGCGGTCAAAGGGATAGTCGTTGATCGGCTATTTCTTCAGTTATTGTCCAAGGAGGCTATAAATACCCCCCTATGGCCATCATTTAGAAAGAGGCTGAGCATTTTCCAGAGAGATTAGAGCAGAGAGCCTTGAGTTTTGGTGAATTAGAGCAAGAGAGAGAGTCTTCCTTCTTCACAAACATCCTCAAGAAGCTTCTAGCGAGTCCTAGAGATCTAAGCTCAGACTTGATCTTTGGAAGAGTGAACATCTTACATCGATAAGATATTCGCTTCAAATTCTTACTTCGATAAACGAAGGAAGAATCATTAAACCCCTCACGGTTCAATCAGAATCTGTGATTTGGTGGTCCACGAGTCAAAGCGCTCCCGGCACAGGCAAAGATCCCACGCAAGCAGCGATCCAAACAACGGTCCTGCGTTTGTTTCTCAAGAGTTGTAATTTTCCTTTTGTTGTGTAAAAAGAAGTCTTATAAAAAGACTATTTCTTTTGAATTTATTGTAATCGACCGAAGATATAATGAATTCCATGACAAAACCAACTTTTGACCCAAACATTGAGGAACACCCATTCATAAGTGGCTGGGGAAATTAGCACAAACGAATTGCATATACAGGACAATATCAAGGGAAGTGCCAAAAATGTCATAAAAATCAGGCAACTTGGTCAATCCATAAACTATTAAACCTCACTAAACTGTATTTACATGCATTTTACAATATAATAAGTACACATATCAAGATATAAAACGAGCAGTAATATACCTTTCCAGGAAATACTCGGCACAAAGCCCTAACGGTAGAGTTCTGTATCCAGGAACCACTTAAAGATGCATGTGGATTTAGCATCTGATCACTACTGGCTAACATTTCAGCATGCGCCCCACCACAGTTCACCATGATTCGACCATGAGGCATCAACTTTTTCTCAATCTCCAGCCATACTGCATCCTGTTGTGCACAATAGGGAGGTAACATCTAAGCAGTTTTACTTTAAAAAAAACGTGAGAGAAGATATAAAGAATGCAACAATCAGAACATAAAAGGCATTTTGAACTTTTTCCCCAAAGAATTTTAAGGAACTATCATAACTAAGAAACCCAAAACTTGAGAAATGTAAAAAAGAATGCATGTTCATGAATGGAAAATTATCATCATTTAATATAGCAGAAACATAAAGAGAGTTGATATACGTAAAAATGTATAATGTTACATAGCTAATTATCTACGTATTTGTGGATGCACAAGTGTACGTGCACGCGCGTGTTTTCTGTGTGTCTGCACGTGTGTAGTCGTAAATGTACAGAATTAAATTACACACAATGTTTTTTTTTAAGGTCATGGATGGGGTTTCAAAGATGAAAACCCCCAGCCTTAACTACATTGCCTAGAATTGGTTGTTACAAAAAAATAGATGCACCCCAACTCCATACACACAAATATTGTTATACATTTTAAATCTTTTAATGTAATACCAGGCAAATTTAATGCTACTTATAATTCTATCTACTTGGCATGCATATAAAATTAATTTTATAAACAACTTTCGACATACTTATTATTATTATTATTATTATTTTGATACATTATTCTTCGTGTGACACTGCTCTGAAATTAAATTAAGTGAACATAATCAAATTTCTTTCAAAAGTATGTTTTCCAAAATTTCATGAAATGAGCAATATATTTCTCATGGATGTCAATAACATGACTATTGAACAAGAAGTCAGCTAACATAAACAGCACAATATTCTCTCCAGGACCACTTATTCAGAAAATGTCTCATATTAATACGCAAAGTAATCAGACAGTGCTGTAGTCATGTGAGATATCAGTTTCTTAAACTGGTTTTTACTCATATAAAAGTAGCCAGCAAATGCGGTCTAAACATATTTATTATAACATGATAGATCAAAAGGTTAACACAAAATAGAAAAGGCTTAAAAATAATAAACTGGAAATTTTCTCATTGTCAAAGAACAGTGGAAAATGTAAAGTATGAGACAAACCTCCTGTAATTGTGGTAAAACCTTTCCATCAGAAAATAAATCAACAATGATTCCTGTAGCGAGAAACAAGGGAGAAAAATTAACTAGATAGTAGATAATGCATTAGTTAGTTATTACAAATAAATCAAATCTCTGGCTTGTTTATTGACCATGAAGTTTACAAATACCAAGTTATAATCACTTTACTGCACACATCAGAAACTCAGTGGCAACTATCTACAATTTGGAACTTATTATTTACAATTGCCAGTTTATGCTGTCCAATCAAAATAGCAACTGTTGATACAGAAAACATTGGTCCAAAATACAAGAGAAATGCCTTACAAGAATAAAAGTTTTACCAGCAAACCCTCCTTGAACTGCCACAGATGGAGAAAGCGCATCACCAATGTGGACAGAAAGTGAACCACCGGCTTCTGTACATCTCTCCAGAGCAGATAAACCAAAATAGTCCCTTGACATGTCAACCAACTGTCAAGATATAGGACAGGTTTATCTCACAAGCTAAAGAAGAAGAAGAAAAAATCACTAGCAGAGTAACCAGGAAAAACCAGCGCAAATTTTACAAGCTGTATCAGGACTACTTAGAGAAAAGTTTAAACGTGTAGAGCCCATGATAAACATAAATAACAAGAGAAAATTTCTCAAGAAAAAGATTATCCTTCTATATATATTACATATACAAGTTTGTTTTAGCAGACATAGGTTGCAGAACTTTCATCTCAATGCAGGTGGTTATGAGAATGTTGATGATTGATCCTTGAATACATGTGCTTAACTGGCATAATCTATATAGTTTTCTTTTAATCCATCAACTGATCTACTATGTACCATGACGAGCCCCTCTTGTCCATAGTTTCTTTTGACAGGTTGAAAGCTGCTAGCAAAATCTCATCCTAGTGCCAACACCATTTTGATGAGTACTGTTAATATTTGATGATATTATTATGGTCTGCATGAAGTTGGTAGAAAGTCGTATTAAATTATAAAATTTCAAGCTTTGAGTATCTGTACAGAGCACTTATACAGAGTCTTTGACTGGAAAAAAAAATATTATACCTCAAATGCAAAGCTAAACACAATCTGAAATACATTGAAAAGATGAGATGGATACCTTGTCTAACTGAACTATTTTAAACTATTTCATAGAAATAATAAACTAATAATTGGTAGAATTGAATTGCATCTTACAATCTCATCAATCTCCCAACCTTCTATATGCAGTGAAGGCCACAAGTCAAGCAGCAAATGGGCTGCTGTTCCTGCACCCTGGAAGAGTTGCATATTGAAGAGCGTAAGTTTTAGTTTGGTTGTTCTTTAATGCAAAATACAAGAATTTAAGAAAAAGGATAACTTATATATAGATGCGTAAATTACCAAACCTAATATTGCAATAGGGCCTTTTGGTATAATAGCTGGAAGACTTGCAAACTCATCCTACAAAATGCACAAAGAGGTAACTGTGAAAATGGAGGTAACCATCCACTTCTGTTGCTAAATAAGCGACAAGAAAGATCATTGATCATTTTGGCATCGTAAACCAAAGCCCTGAATTGCAAAAAAGGAAATAATAATAATAATAATAATAAAGAAATGTAAGCAAAATTTCGTTTACATTGGAAAATGTTTTAGATAAGGAGAAATGAGCAATTAAAAAGGATAAGTAAAAGAAAAGGGAACCAAGATGATAGTGGTGAAACCTGTGAGACATTTTAGACACAATTATAAAATCTGATTAATAAGCGAAATGTCTGACTAACTTCAGTTATTTTCCCCCTGCCAAACTCGTCTGAATGAACGTGTGCAACTTAAACTGACGAACAAATCTAAAAGAAGACAAGAAATTGCACCATGTATTACTTCTGGAATGTTACGGCAAAAGAAATGGACAATGATTCCTGCAAGTATTATGAGTAAAGGTAAAATTTACTGCCTGTCCTGTAGATCTCGCCAGGATTTATAAGATTCATGTTCACAAATATATAGACTCTCATCTACTCTTTTCTGGAGCTAGTCACTTGATGGTCATCAAAATTGACAATCCACAATAGACATTACATACAATATCACTAAAGATACCTAAGAACCAAAAGTAAAGTTTTTTTTTTGTCTCCTCATTATTGACTAATTGGTGATATTTTGATACAATTGGCTCTATTGTGTGAAGAAAAATGTGAGACTTGCTAACTTCTTGAGGAGATGGATTTCAACAGGGAATTAATGTGAGACATTATTTTGTTTGATAAAAAGGCATTTTGTAGCATACAACAGAATCCAATGTACCAAACAAAGCAAGAATTTACAGTTCAGGTAGTTTCCTGACAGGAATATTGTATTGCTTGTACTTTTAGTTCATAGCCGCCAGGAACTTGCTCGAGCAGTTTGAGATTATATGAGAGTTGTTGAAAGAGTATTACACTATTTTCATGGTTAGAGATCTATATTGTCCGCATAATATTGTTAAATATTAATGCAAATCTTCTTAGTCTAAATCATTTGAAATTTCTACTAGGGTCATATGAATGCAGCATAATCAGAAGCCTGAATGATAAACTGCATGCCACAAAAGGAGGAGGCTTGTGTTACTTTGCGGAAATAATTACAAGTTTGCAATCCACATTAGCAATTCCAAAGATAATAACTCTTTTAACATTGTCAAAAGCATATAGACAGTTGTATTTGACAATTTATCTCGCAATTAAGGAACCTTCAGAAATTTAAACTTGGGCGTGAACATCTTTGTAAGAAGAATTGTTCCATACCCAGTATGAACCTGTCCATTTTTGCTCCTTGTTCAGCATGCTATGAATATTATCTGTACATATCACAAACATTAAATTACTTAGAAAGAAATTGCACCACCGCCACCATACCGTAGTCTGCTAAGCAAATAACCAGTAGCATAGGCACATTGGAATCTTCAAAATTTGACACTCATATGCATGTATGTGTGTAGGCATGTGCTATGGTTGAGTTTGGCGCACAACAAATTTTGTTTAGTATAGATGGTTTGCAAGTGTAACTGGAAGGTTACAATAAACTATTCATAAGTGATTTGTAAATCATGCATGGACTCTATAAATGTATGCATGTACTTATTTCTGCATGTATATACATATACATGCATTACGTCTGTGCACAAGTTGTATGTTTAAGTATGTGTCAAGTGCGAATTATGCAAAATGGACATTCAATTATGAAGTTGGGTCCATGTAGACATGTACCTGACCCAAAACGTCTTCAACATTTTATGACACTTTTGTTGGTATGTGATGTGATAACTAGTATGTGCAGTTGCACAGGCACACAAACATTAATGTATGACTTGGGGGGAAAAGTTGTCTTATGCATGTAGGCATTAGCAAAAATATAATATTCTTATTCATTCTTTGATTGCAATCATTTTGGTTCATGTTTTATTTTTAATCAAAAAGGAATGTAGTTTGATTCTGCTCATTTGTATCCATAATTTCCTTTAAACTGCTGCAGCTACATTTTTGAGTTGGGGAACGTAGCATGCTATCTTGTAAACAACCTTTTGAGGAATGAAATCGGGCTGGGATCTTGAGTCTGAGACACCACCCTCTCTCTGAAAAAAATTGCATTCACAGTTTCCAGTCCAACAATGGAAACTACCCCGGGAAAACCAAGGAAAACATTACTACACAAATTGAAAGGAAGAACTAGATATCTATATTGACTAATAAACTTCCAAATCTTGGATAGCAACTCTATCCAAATTCTCAATTAGTATGCCAAAATACCATCTTTTTTAGTGTAAAGGTCTCGATTCTTGCACTACAGGTATACGGACCAAGAATAATCAACTGAATTTTGTTCGATTTTAACAGGAATAGCATTAACCATTCAACTTTCAATCCAACAACATTCGCACGCATACAACCACAGACATTTACCAAACGACACAGTATCAACTAGCCAAGATTAGGGTACTACTCACGAGTGGAATCAAGAAGCAAAACCCTAGAATCAGGAGTATCCACGACCACGATGTCATTGTGCTCGCTTCGCATTGCCGCCAGAACCGAGTAAGACGGCGGAGGCGATTCCTCCGCATCATCTCTCCTCTCTTCCTGTTTCTGAGCTTTGGCGATCAGGCGAGGAGATCGAGAGAACGAGGCGCGGGTTTCCTCCCGAGATTTACACCGACGTAGCTGAAATGAATCCGGTGTAGAGCGACGAGCGATGGTGATTCTGTTGCCGCCGCGAATTCGATCGGAGAGAGGAGGAAGAGGAGGCCTCATCGGCATCGCCGTCGCCATTTTTGATAGTTTAGTGAGTTCTGAGCTCTCGCTTGGTATGCTCTGCTTCGCTCTTCAGGATGAGGCTTTTGATGCCCGTTATAGCCTTGGCCCACATATATATCGGTTTAGGGAAATTTTGTAAAATAGACCGTTTTTATAAAGTAATTAGTGAAATAGACCACTTTTGAGAGTAATTAGCAAAATAGACCTCTTTTTGACAAAAGAGGTCGATTTTGAAAAAATGACTTCAGAAAACATACGGGGCTAGTAGTCCCGTATGTTTAAAGCTAACTAATCTAATGATTAGTGCACTAATCATTAGATTAGTTAGCTTTAAACATACGGGACTAGTAGTCCCGTATGTTTTCTGAAGCCATTTTTTCAAAATCGACATCTTTTTGACCTATTGGCTAAAAAGAGGTCTATTTTGCTAATTACTTTTAAAAGTGATCTATTTCGCTAATTATTTTATAAAAACGATCTATTTTGCAAATTTTCCCATCGGTTTATTCATTTCGGATACAGATAGAAATCTGAATACATATATACACGTGGATATATATAAGCAGATATAAATGCGAAAACTAGATATTATTAAAAAAATATAGTTCGTATGATATAAAAGAGTTCATTAATATATTCATTAGATGTGAAAAGCTAAGATTAAACATATTGATCATCAAAATTAACCTCAAACCTATAATCTAGGATTAAAACTATTGTATCAGTATGATATTTCGAATACGGATTCGAATATTTCACTACGAAACCATATCTGTAACTATATCCTATCAGTTAGAGATTTAACTAAACATATCCGTATCTTAACGGATATGGTTACTGATATTTTTTCGCATACCAACATGGTTTATCAGTTATCACTCGTATTTTCAGCAATGCCAATTAATTAAACAGCTTTAATCCGGATTTATTTGAGGTTAATGGGAATTATTATATCATATGTCCGTGAAGGAATTCTAATCATGTGGCTCAATCTCAATTAATGTTGTTTTTTTTAAGAATTGATATGTATGGATTATCGATATGCTCTGGACCAACAGGAGAATAAGAAAAAGAGGTACACAAATATTTGCAAGCGTATTGAATTAATTTGTGAGCGCAAGAGTTGTCCGATCTTTTAACATGAAGGACGGAGGAGGATTTAAATTAATCTCTTGAAGAGGGACCAACATTTTGGCGTGATACTTAAGATATTCTCAAGGGGTGTTAGTTAATTAGAACATTTTCATGCAAAGTAGGATAATAGTTAAAGTGAAATAATTTTTTACTAGTGGAATATTTTAGTGAGATAATAGGAACAAATTTGTAAAACAGAATATTTTGATAAAATAACGCATGATAAATTTTTATAATCATGAAATATACATTTATGCATTTTAAGGATATAAATATTATTTATGTATTTTAAACTTACGATTATTAATTGATAATTATTTACAAGAGTGTTATTTACTATTAAATAAATTTTGGTTATACTATAAGACATTGACAATTATTATTATAATATATATTGTGGCTTTCTTATTTTTTAATTATTATCATAATACAAGTCCTAAAAAAAGTTTTTCTCATTTTTCTTTCTTTTTTGCTTACCGATATCTCTTTCACTCATCTCTCAATTTTATTGTTTAATAAATTATAGATTGATACAATCTTTACTTTAAATTAATTATATAATTATAATATTGGGTAAAAAAGAAAATATTAGAGATGATTAAGAGGAGACGATATCTAATTTGATGGCATAGTCTAATGATGATGATGATCATAGTAGGAAAGAAGTAAAGAAAAAATATAAAAAAATAAATCTAATAAAAATATAAAAAAACAAATCCAATAAAGCAAATAGGAGTTCTAGTGTTTTACCACCTAGTTGTAAGCTAAAACTTGGGATAATTTGAGAGACTAGAACTCTCATGTTTGTATAGAAAATAACTAAAGTGAGATAACTTTATACAATTATCCTAGTTCTAATTTCGTTAGAGTTTTAGTTGACTAATATTGTAAAATTTTATTCTAGTTTTTGTTGATATTAGTTGGCCCAAAGGCCTGTTGATGGCCTGTTACCTAAAGGCCCAGTTCCCCTCTACATTTGCCCTAGCCTCCTCTATTCCTCTCTCCTACCCGATGGTACTCAATCATTTTCCCATCTCTGTGTTCTGATGGCCGCCGCTATGAGTCCCATCTCCCATCCTTGTAGGTCGGCTCCTACCACTCGAGACCTTAGGTTTTTCCCTCTCGTGTCGGCTACCCCCTTCTACTTGACTCGAAGGGCTGGTAGTAGCTCGAGGTGGGGTAAGACGAAGAGGCAGAGAAGAGTGAGCTCATGTGAGCTTTGTGCGATCCCCCTCCCTTCTGTGAGCTTAGTGCTCCTGTGAGCATTGTGCTCTCACCCCTTTGTGCGATCCCCCTTTCCTCTCTGTGAGTGATTTGAGAGCAAATCAGTAGCGAGCTCTCCCTTTGTGTTCTTGGTGGTGCATTGGAGAGAAGATCAGAGACTGGTTGAGCAGGCTTCTGAGCCAAACATCGACGACAACGATCCTCAACAGTTTTAGTTCTAGTTTACTAACACTATAAAATTTTATTTTAGTTCTAGTTGACTAACACTATAAAATTTTATCCCACAAATTATCCTAGTTCTAGTTTTGGATTTTATTTGACTAACCCCCCATGAGGGTAATCAATAGCATAATTTATCATAAGCATCAAAGAGAGACAATCCGATTCCAAAATGATGTCAATCCCACCCTTAGATTGAGCCAACAAAGGCCCGAAGGCATAGCACGCGCTTCAATCTCAAACAGAGACGAGGGAGGACCGAAAGTATTATAGGAGAGTAAATGTTGACCCCGCTCACTTCAATCAAGTGTTGTTATGAGCTTTGTCTCTCCTTATTTACTTGCTTGGTGGAGATGGAGTCATATCATTATAATGAGGGAATCCCTACGTAAGACAAGAAATATATATATTTCTCATATATTTTTTAAAAACTAAGTTCAGAGCTAGCTAGATTAATAGAGGTTCATCAACCGCACATATAAGTCAGTTGAAAGATATTAATTCTTTTTATTGATGGATAAGTAAAATCTTAAGCTTTTTACCCCCATTGATACCTCTTCTATGATTTTGTTATTATTATGTCTAATTAAGATGGACGGAAAAATTGGGACTCTACGTTGTGTGATAAAAGAATTCACGACAAAGATACTAACTTTATAGGTGTCACTTCTGTATAGAATACCTCTTTTTTTTTTTGTATATGTGTGTGTTTTTCACTTGTGATCTTGTTAGCATCAAGAATGGGTTACCTCATCAAATATTCCTTGTAGAAAATAACCTTTAATTCTTCTTTGGATTTCTCAGCTAATCAACCATAATTTATTGGATTTTGTTATTGTCATATCCCTATAATTAGGTACAAGTAGGCCTCAACACTTATGCGTTGTATCTACTGACTAATTTGTTTGAGCACATAAAACCTCATCATTAAAGTTAGTTTAACTCAAATGATTTGCTTTGAACAATTAGGACTTATCCATTACGTCACATCAGCAATATCCAATATGCATGAGTTGCACTAATTAGATGAAGATACCATGACCTGGGCATGCAGTAGTTATCTTAATTAACAAGAACTGGCTCATGACTGCAACCTTAATATCATCTTAATTAGCAAGAGAATTTATATTCAAAAAAATAAAGATTAAAAATATCAACATCTTGCATAACAAAAATATTGTGAGCCATCAAAGTGGGGATTAGCATAACAACACAATCCTGCTTCAAATTTCAACCACGTACTCAACTTGGAAAGTTGCTTGCCCTTTTCACACTTTCATAATTGGGTGCACTTTTGACTAGATGAAGTATCTAGCGAGCGTCATCTTCATTAAATATGGATAAATATATATATATATATATATATACTCAACTTGGAAAGTTGCTTGCCCTTTTCACACTTTCATAATTGGGTGCACTTTTGACTAGATGAAGTATCTAGCGAGCGTCATCTTCATTAAATATGGATAAATATATATATATATATATATACTCCCCTCTTCTTGTACTCTTTTCAGCTCCCCATTTTCTCCCCAAATTTATATCTAATCATTTTATTGCATTCACATTCACTTGCACAGAGAGAGCTATGAAGGTTAGTATTCTGTCATCTCATAAACATTAATTCCTTGGTTCTCTTTAATTAATTTCTTCAAAAGAGTAATTGATGGTCGCTCTGCTTTTAGCTCTTTTGGGTATATGATCTTGTATGTGAGTGAATATTTAGTGGTTTTCGTGTGTTATGAACCTGCTTCTGATTTCATAACTGATGTTTTTATATATTTTCTCGATGTCTATATGTTCATTTTAATACTGAACTCAGTTATATATATACTACTTGGTCTATAATTAATGCTAACGATATCAAATTCAATGGCTTGATTGCAGAAAATTGTGTTGAAAGTGGAGTTACATGATGACAGAGCCAAACAAAAAGCTCTCAAGGCTGTTTCATCTATCCCAGGTATTAATTCTCTCTATTTCATTTGAACTAACTTTCAGCAGTATTTTTTCTTTTCTTTTTCTCTTGCTTGGTTGAATGGAGATAATGAGATAATTTCTGACATAAAATTTGCTGAGACGCGAAGCAAAATCTCTAAAAAAAAATTCCGTCAAAACAAACGCAAAATTTTGATTGAGGACTTTGATTCTGACAAAACTCTTGACTCCTTCAGGGATAGATTCGATCGCCGCGGACATGAAAGAGCAAAAGCTGACTGTCACAGGCTCAGTAGATCCAGTGACTATAGTGAGCAAACTAAGAAAACTATGGCACACGGAGCTTTTCTCCGTCGGGCCGAAGGAAGCGCCGAAGAAGGATGAAACCAAGAAAGAGGAGCCCAAGGGGGAGGAAGGAGAGAAGAAGGAGGAACCAGATAAGAAGCTTGATCCGCAGGAACAATTCTACCAAGAGCTTGTGAAGGCAGCTTATAGGAACTACGATCCTCATATGACCGCCAACTATTACGTGCAGAGCGCAGAGGAGAATCCA